CTCAATGAAAATATAATTGTGCTGCACGATAATTAATTTTGCAACCCTTTTAAGTAATCTTTTCAAGACGAAAACGTATTTCAGAATTTCGGTTAACCTTTCATGAGTATGTATGTGGCGAAGCGGTGAAGCGCAAGATCTTCTCATTTTCCGAATAATTTTCACACGTTGTCACAGCCGATAATTATATCTAGCTGTTAGAACCACCTGCGTATAATTTTAATGGGTCTCATTCTTGAAGAGTAGTGATCCCACGATACCTTCGTAAAGTTCTGCTTCGCTTGGGTCTTTTCGTAAACTGTGAAGGATATGTGCAATGAACCTGTATGATGCGGAAATTTTTCTCACACTTATTAAACTGACTACTTCTGATGACTTGGTCCACACTTGCATACTCGGGCGTCGCATACTGGAAGCACCCGCTCTTTGCTGGCATGTACGCTGACAAATCTGATTTTAAAAAACGTTTACTAAGGATTTTGAACCAGGTGTCTTAACTGTGATAAACGATCAAAGTCATTGTTTTTCATAAAATTGCAAAGAACTCCATAAAAAGTTAAAATATATGTCGCATTTATTCAATAGTCTCACTCTGCCCAGAAGTTATGTTCAATCAACTCTTGTACTTTGGATCCTAATGATGAGACCTTTTAAGACAGGTCCTTTAAAAGAAATTACAACAGGGCTCTTCTCCCATGCTCTACCGAGAATGGTTAGTAAAACATATTGGCAGCTACAAGTATAAGAGATACCTACATTTTGGCAGAGTCTTGGGACACCCTGATTCTTGACATTTTAGGCAGCAAACTCAGGTTTGTGTCTTTTCTAAAATGGATTGTTTATGCTTTATCTTTGAGGGAGTCCATTCAGAAGATAGGAGAATCCAGGTATGACCCAGAGCGGGCAATCCAGGTCTTTGGGGACATAAAGCGAGAATTTTTATTAAACCCACTTGTTTTGTAATCGAACAAAATTCGCAAAAAAACTGCAAACTTCTGATGGCGTTTTTGTATCGATTTGATTTTTAGTAGTTTGCGCCATCTCTCTTTCAAAGCGAAACATGTAAACAGAAGTGGCTCAGAACATTTAATAATGACAGACTTTGCGAAAGAGCACACTGGTTCAGCCGGAGAATGGAGTAGGGGCGTGGCCTCCCGTTTCCCGCCGGGAAGTCATAGATGACACTTCACCCCGGCGACTGATCGATACTCGCCTTCGTCTGACTCGCCGGCTGGTAACCTGAGTGAATATCGATTACTTCAACAGCTGGGAGCCCCTTGCCCATAAATCCGTGTGATTCCATCGGGCGACACACGTTTTAAGGCTGAGAATCTCCCTTTTCACCTAGCCGACCATCAGAAATGTTCCAAATGCTGAAGCGAAAGTCCTTTGTCCGGCGTCCATTGTCTTGTGCGATAACAGAAAATTGA